TCAGTTTTTTTTGTTCAAGGGAGCGTGGGCATTTGGGATCTGTTCCCAGGTGACCTCTTTCTTTGCACCTGAAGCAGATTGGCGAAGCTTTGGTAGACACTGTTACTGACGTGACTTTGTCCCCAATGAGACATTGCCACTCCTCTAGGAACACCGGGGGGTCGTCGATCAGTACCTCCAGGATTGCCGTTACGGAATCGCAGTGGGGGGCCAGGAAGTCGGGCGTGGGGAGGACCCACTTTATCACTTTGTTTGCCAGGTATTCGAATTCCAATCGGTCCTTAATCAGGGGATGGCGTCTGGGTGGGATGTTGTCGAATTGTACCCAGAACTGCTACCTCATCAACCGCTGTTTGTAGGAGGCAGCCGGTGAGACTTCAGCTCGTTGGGTTGTCTTCGGTTTCCAGCGTGACAGGGTGCAGACAGATCCGTTGCAGTTCAAGGTTTCACATGTCTCCAATATGTGTGTTGCTTGGTCTGCATCTTTGAAGACCTCGATCATCATGGTTCTACCCAGGCCTAGCAGGGAGAACTTGTCCACTTCTGTTTTGATGCTCTCGTGTTCCTGGATGGTTTTCACCATCCATTTCCTTTTCTCGATGGGGGAGAGTCTTGCACCGGCGTTGGAGAAGGAGAAGATGAGTGCGTGCTTCTCGTATGTCGCGTTGGTGTCAGCGATCTTGTCTTTTGGGTACGCCCAAGCATTCACTTCCTCATCGGTATTGTCCTTAACGTTTCTGACCTTGATTGTGACTTTCTCTCCTTTAATTTTTGGGGCTTCCAACAGGAAACGAAGCGTCTAATGATCCATGTTGGATGCGTTTTGGGATGGGTCCTTTGAGGTGGCTGTTTTTGTTGCTGCTACCGTGCAGTAGTGGCGTTGGTAGTTTGGGCCATGCTTGCTGTTGTTCGTTTTGTCTTTTCTTAATGATTGCTTTTGCTCTTTGTGCGATGTATTTGTGTTTCGTCGGTTTAATTGTTGTTGTTGTTGTTGTTGTTGTTGTTGTTGTTGTTTTTAAGTTAAATCAGGCGCTGCTATTCGCTTGTTTTCGTCCAGGCGGACTGATTGGTTGCAAACCTAAACCTTGAATTGCATAAGCTAGCTTTTGCCCGCAGCTAGCCTACGTGTCGACTGTGTATGTCTTTCTGCCACTGCCACTACTACTACTACTACTACTACTACTTCCCTTTTTGGTGAGATCGATGTGTGACCTTCTTTTTTTTTTTTTTTTTTTTTTTTTTTTTT